CACTGCTTTAACACCATATTACAGATTGATTCAATTACTGTTTTATTTTGATTTTTTAATACATACACACACTGTTTTATTTATTTTACCTTTAGGATTTAGTGCTTAGTTTGATTTTTCACTGTAAAATAGCAGCTCAAAGTACAACCTTTTATATCTTGATAAAATGTTCCTATGCAGAACATTATTACCAATATTTCAGAATTGATAGAAGCTCATATATATTCACTGTCCTTATATTTTTCAAAGAACTAAATATTTATTTGTCAACAATGAAAACACACTAAATTCAACTATTTTTAATCCCTAGTATTAATAATCCTCTGTGAAATAAATGAAAAGTTTGGGACACACCTCCTTTTCACATCAACACAAAACAATCTGTTGTGTTAGCTTAGCATAATGAATTGAAGTGAATGGAAACATTAGCCCACTCTGTCCCACAGTAACAAACTACAGAAACCCCAAGCTGTCCTGTTTCCAGGTATGTCTGAAATAAACATCATCATATGAGGACTATTTCATAGGAGTCATTTTAGGGGAAATCACAGCTTTTGTAAGGAATATAATGACACTGTGTGATATCTAGCCTCCGTTTGAGTTTAGTGACAGTCATTGTAAACTAATCTAACTACACCATATCCATTATTTCTTCAGGGTCAGGCCTATAGGGAGAGGAAGAGAGAAAGATGAGGCTGAATGTCCTGTTGTAGTGAGCTGCAGCCCAGCGGGCCACAGTCTGACTGAGCTCGTTAGCCTGAAATGAGGAACACCTGTCTCCACTTATTGTAAAATCTTTACAATGAATGACTGATGATGAATTACTCTCAGGGACTACCACAAGATCGGGGAACTTGTCCTCAGTAATGCAGGGACAGACATCCAACTGGTGGAGGTGAATCAGAACCCCCTCATTCAGCGGCACAATAACGGGCAGAAGAAGCAGGAGCTCTCTGTGCTGCTTCAAGGCTCTGCCTCACCTCCAGTGGCTCCGGTGTCAGAGGAGCCAAGAGCGCCCCCTGCTGAACCTCCCACAGCCCAGCAGGAACATCGATACAGGCTGCCGGAGAACACGGCAGGTCAGGCTAAGCAGAGGGAGACACCCCATTGTGTTTATTTACAATCAGACAGTTCTGCATTTCATTCATCTTGAAGTGAACACGTATTTTTTTCTTTTTTTTCCCCCCATATTTGCTATTCCAAGAATGTTCTCTTCTTTCCTTTAGGCTTTGAAAGCTATGGTGGAGGACAAATATGAGGAATCCAAGCAGAAAGCCAAAGCCTTGGTGTTGAAGGCTTCAGCGGTTAGCTTAACATCAGATATGTGGACCTCTGTAAACACCGATGCACATCTCTCTGTGACATGCCATTTGATAGATGCAAGCACCTCTTTGCAGTCTGTTTTAGGGGGGCTGTATTTCCCTGAGGCACATACTGCTGAGAATGTGACTCAAGTAAAAGCAGCACTTATGTCACAGTGGGGTATCACAAACAAAGTTACTTGCCTTGTGACTGATGGTGCAGCAAACATGGGGGCTTGTGCCAAGGAGCTTCATTTGCGTCAAATTGTGTGGCGCATACTTTGAATTGACTTGTAAAAAAGGCAGATGACCAAAGCCGTGTGCTGTCTGTCATCTGGGCAAACTCAAGGAAGATAGTGGGCCATTTAAAGAGCAGCACCACTGCAAAGCTGAAGTTCTTCATTTCATTGCAGTTTCCTAAATGACACTGTTTTGTGCTGCTGCAGTGACACTTGCATTGATCACTTTTTGATTGCTAATTTCTCAAGGAGAGGCTGACACAGGTGCAGGAGCAAATGGGACAGCCGGCCCTGAAGCTGGTTCAGGAAGTGGACTCACGTTGAACAGCACATACCAAAAGCTCCAACGTGTTTATGAGCTCAGGGAACCTGGAGGAGCAGCTTTGGCAGGTCTTCACACTGATGTTGCCCCATTGTCATCAGAACAGTACAGTATTATTGCCGAATCCCTAAAAGTGCTGTCCCCATTTAATGATGCCACGGTGGAGCTGTCAGAGGAGAAAAGGGTATCTGAATCTAAAGTAATCCCCCTTCTGTCAATGCTACACCACGCACTGGAGGAGGAAATGAGAACCCTCCAAACTCCAGAGAGAAAAATAATGGCTGAGAGTCTGAAGAGACAATTACAGGAGAAGCTGTTCACACTGCAATCCATGAGCATAATGTCACTGGCGACACTGCTAGATGCCAG